TATGCAACTTTGTCATTTGGCATAATGACTTTGGTACTTGGCCAAAAAAATGGTTTCCTCTTAATACTAGACCCAAATGTGGAAGAAAATTTGGAAGATAGTCAAGTAGATTGTTTCCACTTAGATCAGTATGCAAAGAGATAGGGCACTTAATGCATTGATTATGATGGGTTTTGTGAAGCAATTTCCTCCAAGATGTAAATCAACTAATCTATCCATTTTGGAAAATATTGGCATACCACACAACTTATTGTTTGATAAGATTAATTGTGATAAGAAGGTTTTGTTTTGGGATAATCCATTGGATACTTCTCCTGTTAGGGAGTTGTTAGACACTGCTGTTAACTTGTATTGAGTGGAGAGGAAATTTGGAAAGACATTATGACTCTTCCTATTGAGGTTGCAATTGTCTAGATTTAAATAATTTAGTTGAAAAGATGGAATCCAAGATGGTGACTCAGTATCAACATCCAAGTTATAATTGTTGGAAAGATCAATTTTGGTTAATTGGGAGAGATTAGCAAAGATAGAGAAGGAGAGCTCTCCAGAAAACTGGTTATTTGAAAGATAAGGCAACTCTAATGAAGTTAGGTTGTTGAAAATCCAAGGAGCAATGTTGCTTGTAATTTGATTATCAGAAAGATACAATCTTTGTAAATCCCATAGTTCACAAAGCCCTGAAAGAAAATTTAAGAGAAATATGCATGAGTATAATGATATATTATATTATATTTCATATAACAAGCATTTGTCAATCAACTAAGAATTAGAGTTAATTTGTCAATCCGCTCTTTGTCTAAGGTGATATATATTTCCATCTCTCTCTCAAACACAAACACATTCAGTAGAATTCATAGCTTTTTTTTTTTTTTTTGTGTATTCACTATCCAACTTTCTCATGTTTCAGCGGTTGAAGTTTTTTATTTTTCTGGAAAGGAGATTTGTTTTATCATGTGGTAGAGGAAGTGTTATAATTAAGGCCATGTTTGCTTTTCAGTAAGTTACTTATACAGGTAAATGTAATTACGTGGGTAACTTTTTCATGGGAAACACTTACCCAAGTAAGTTCATTTATCCATTTTCTTTTATTTCCTAAGTAAATAAGGTAATAATCATTTTAGTCATAAAAATCCATTATTAAAAGGGGCATTTTTGTCCCATTTAAGTGTTAGCAACTTTTCCCCTAAGTGGAAAAGTTATTTATCCACCTAGGAGATGGATAGGTAAGTGATGCCCAAGAAAATAAACTTTCCCTGGTCCCACATAAATCTGAAAAATGAACATGAGATTCTTTGTCAATGGAAACCAAAATCTTATTTACCAACTTTCCTCCCTCTCAAAATCCGAAAAAAGAATACCCCCTAAATATTCCTTATATATACCTTACCAACCAGCTGGTTGATACCTTGCCATATAAAGCATTCTTTGTAGCTAATATAAGCTTTTACTTGCATACATGCACTATATTCATTGTTATTATGAACAATGTTGGTTGTTTTGTTCCATGTTTTAATAGCTATCCATATTTGTTTCTATGCTTGATTAACCCTATGAGCGAAGTAGAGATGTCTACTTGGTCTTTTTAACAGGTACTACTTATTGATGGAAAATAGTTTTGGCAACGGCTTTAGGTGTCCAAGAGAATGGTGAGGCGAGAGTTCAGGTGAAAAATGGTTCCATGACGGTCATTGTCGTGGGACAGGGGGTTGAGGAGTATTGGTTGGTTTTTCTTAATCGGTGTGTGGTTGGAGAGATGGCCGGACCCCAAGTTAAGGTTAAGGAGGTTTCTTGTTAGGTGAAGAATGCATGGCAGTGTAGCACTCATCCAGAGGTTAATTAGAGAGTTATTGGGAGGCCGTTTCCTTTTCTTACTGGGTTCCGAGTTGGAGGTGGTTCATGTCCTGGCTTAAAGCAGTATCGTTTTAATGGGAGGTTTGTCCTTATTAGTAGGTAGTCAGCTAGTTTCGTAAGGGTGGAGGTGACTGAGAGGTACCGGGTGTGGCGGGTTAAAGTGTTTAAAGAATTAGGAGCTGCGTTAGGGAAAATATATTTGTGTATGTGTGTCTGTATAATTTATATATATAATGTATAATACATTATAAATCGCATATTATAATTATATATTCAAAATATATAATTATATTCTTCTATAATATATATTTTTTTTCTATTTTAGTTCAATTTTTTTTTATGTTAATATTAAGATCTGAAACAAAAAGGCATTTTTTTACAAACATAGTGCGGCAAGGCACCGTTTGCACATTGAGAACACGTAGATATCAAAAAGTTACCCAAAATAGAAAAAAAATCACCCCAATTGGACATCTGAATGCAAAGTTATGGCCTTTATAAATTTGCATTTACGTGTTAAAAAAGATTAAAAAAACTGGCCAATTTTTTAAAAATATGATTGGGTTACTGTTCTTCCAACCGGTCAATCTGATCCAATTTTCTAAATACTACTCAATAGTAATTGCGTAGGTACTTTGGAGGTGATTGCAATTACTAAACTTCAAAGGAGGTTTTAGATTCCAATTAGAATCTGGATTTCGTTTGCAATAATCCAGACCCCTATTCACGTGAACCAAACGGGCCCTACGTTTAATTAAATATGAGGAAAATCTAGATAACATTAAGACCTTGTTTGTTTGTAACTTTGTAACTTATCGGCGTAAGTGCACTCATTTATCAAGGTAAATTCACATAACCGTGTTCTTTTGATTCTTAGGATTTCCAAGTAATTAAGTAACAAAATGACATTTTTATCCATAAAAGGCTAATATTAAAATGGGTAAAATTGTCCTATGGGTAAGCTTTACTAGATAAGTGAAGTCGATTTTACTATGGGGCCTAGTACTTAATGCAAAAAGAATATTGTAGTTGCAATAATTAGATCTGGATTTCGATTCCGATTTCAGACCCCTATTCCTGTGAACCAAACGGATCCTGAGTTTAATTAAATATGAGGAGAATCTAGATAACATTATGACCTTGCTTTGTTTATAATTTTGTAACTTATCAGGGTAAGTGCACTCATTTATCTGGGTAAATTCACTTCCATGTTCTTTTGATTCTTAGGATTTCCAAATAAGTAATAAAGCGACATTTTTATCCATAAAAAGCTAATATTAAAATGGGTAAAATTGTCCTACGGGTAAGTTTTTCTAGATAAGTGAAGTCTATTTTACCATAGGGCCTAGTACTTAATGCAAAAAGAATATTATAAAGTTAATCAATAAAAAAAGATACTTATTGGCTAACTTTCACAAACTTACTTATCGGTAAATAAACATAACCTAATTAATAATTAGGGTAAATTATAAAGACCCCCCGTACTATGGGGTCTGTGACAAAGACCCCCCTGTACTTTGTTTTGCAACAAAGAACCCTTGTACTATGATTATTAGACAAAGACTCCCTTTCGTTAACCTTCCGTCCAAAAAGGCTATTATAACATTTTTTAATCTCTATACTACCCTTGTAATAACTATTCCGACGAGAAAAATAATGTTCATCTTCCCCAACCTCACACTCTCTTTCTCCCGATCTCTCTTATTCCCCTTCACCGGCCCTATTTCCGTTTTGTTTCTTTAATTTTGTTCCCTCTATGGGTCTTATTCCTTAGTACCAGGTCAAGATGCTCCACATTTCTATCGTTTCTTCCCCCTGTTTTTCTCTTAAGTTGTTAACAGCAGCAGTAAACAACTGGTTCGGCGGTGACAGAGGTCGCGACAATTGTGGGAAGGAGTTGAAATAGATAAAAATATGAATCCCGGAAATCTGTGAAGGATTTGAAATCGAAGGCGGTTGTGGAAGTGGAGGAGCCATGGAGGAATCAAAGGTCGACATGGATTGAGAGAGGAGTCTTCAAAAGAGGGATGTTGTTGCTTTCTACCCTCTGTTTTTGCAAGTACAAGAGTAAACTCACAAGCTATCATTGTCGTCGCCAACCTTTCATTCATTACCACCTCTACTACTACAACCAGGAAAGAAACTCATTTAGGCTCCGTTTGGTTTTTGGGATGGGGATGAGAAAAAGGAAATATTCCTTTGAGGGAAAGAGAGGGATGGGATGTGTGGGATGTCAGATCCCAAAATTATGGATTTAGGGTTGCACCAAAACCATGAGACCCCGATGGAAAATTTTGGAAAAACACTGCTACAACTGAAAGAAGTCAAAGAACCACCATCTTCCTCTTCTCTCATCTCTCTCACCTTCTTCCCGTCTTCACTAGCTCTGCGGTGAACCAGGAAGAAACAGGCAGCAGCGAAGCAAACTAGGCAGCGATGATGCAAAGGCAAAACGATCCTCTTCTCTCTTCTCTCTTACCTTCTTCCCGTCTTTACCAGATCTATGGAAAACCGGGGTGAACCAGGCAGCAGTGACGCATAGGCAAAGCAAACCAGGTAGCGAGGCAAAGTAGTGGAGACAAAAAAACAAAGAAGAAGAAGAAGAAGAAGAAGAAGAAGAAGAAGAAGAAGAAGACGAAGAAGACGAAAGAGAGAGAGAGAGATTAGAAGGGGGATGTGCAGATCTACAACCGCTGCAACTTGCAACAGCGATGACGAAATGGAGAGAGGAGACAATGGGGGAAGAGGGGAAAAAGAAGGATAAGAGAGAAGAAGATCAGGGAGAGAGAGTGGGAGAGGGAAGCCGGAGATGGGTTTAGATCCGCCGCTTCTCTTCCTGGTCACCGCTCTGTTTGGTCAAAAGGAGGACAAAGGCGACCCTTTTTACATTTTCCCATCCCATCCCATCCCAATAAAACTAAACAATGGAAACTTAATTTTTTACACTTTTCCATCCCATCACATCTCATTCTATCTATTCCCATGTCACCCAAATATTCTCAGAAACCTTACGGAAAAAACAAGAGCTAAAAGCTCTTTTTAGCTACAGTCACTTTCGGCATCCACCCAACGAGATATCCGCTAGATATCGGGATGCAAGTGACCATTGCTTGCTGTCCTACTAAACGGATGGTCTGATTGATGCCATCATGGGGTCCACCGGGATTACCATATCCAACAACTACTTTTCCCATCACAATGATGCAATGTTGCTTGGACACAACTACGAGTATCCATTGGATATTGGGATGCAAGTGACCATTGCGTTCAATCACTTCGGTGAGGGGCTCATACAGAGAATGCCCAGGTGTAGGCGTGGCTACATCCACTTCGTTAACAACGATTTCACGCAATGGCTGAAGTACGCAATCGGCGGTAGTGCCAATACCACCATCAACAGTCAAGACAACTGCTACATTGTGCTGTCGAACCCGGATGCCAAGGAGGTGCAGTAGTAACAGTCCTTTTTTTTTTGACGAGTACAGTAGTAACAGTACTACAGACTACAATATTAAGGATTTATCGATATCATGCGCCCCTATTGCCGTGTTTTTGCTAACATGCACTTTGTGGTGTGGGTCGGGTTGGAGCAAGTGACAAAGCGGGTGGATATGGATGAGGGCGAGAGGACGAGCTAGAACTAGAGGACGGAGGGTGACAAAATGATAAATGGGAGACCACATCTGCTTCTCTTACTTGGCGCCTCATAAGCTTCTCACGCACACATCCTACCATGTATTGGAAACTTATCGAGTACTTTTTAATTATTATTCATGGGAGATGTTCCCAATGCACGGCGGATGTGCATGTAAGGGGCCCATTTGTGAAGAGCAGATCTCGTCTCGATAAATAGAGCATTCTTCGTGCCATCCAGGGAGGGTCTAGGGGTGAAGTACGCCAAAGCATCGAGTGTGGAGTCTAAATCAGCTGGGCTCATTGACCTGTCCAAACATTTGGAAGGGTGTTTATTTCTCAATCCATGCATCTATGCTGTAGTTTGTAGGAAGCTCAAGGCATTGTAATGGCAATACCAATGCCTGGACACCCAGTGACAACTCAAGAAGAAGGTAGTGTGGTTGAAGATTGCAAACGTCTTCAAGATTTAATTATTTCTCATCATGCGGTTTTCTTGTTGACTGATACAAAGGAAAGTATCAAAAGATGATTCAAACGGGAAGATATCAAACAAATGAGCTGATAACAAGGAATACAAAATGTGTCGGATAATCAGCTCTCAATAAGAGTAAGGAAGAACAATGGATGGAGGAGAGGATAGAGGAAAGAACATAGGTTTTATGGCAGATGGCTGTTTTTCCTGAGCTAACATTCATACTAGCAAGTGGAGAGAAATGAGCTAACATTCATCAGGTTGTATGAATTTATGTGAAACAGAAAGAGTGAAATAGAGAAACGGTAATGTGAAACAGAAAAACAGTGAGCGGAAAGAAACTTACTAGTGGAGAGTTGCAGCGGTGCAAGGTACAGGGGCAGCGGAGAAGCTTTCAATAGTAATATGTAGAGTTTCGGAAAAAGTAGTGAAGTACAGGATTAACAATCAACCATGGAAAGTACCAAACCATGATTTTTTACCATATACGATATTTTGGAGTCCACACCCATCCAAACTAGACCAAAATCCCATGGACCACGAGATATACACAGTTACGAACACCACCCTAGGTAGGAACACCCTATCAAAACTCCAGTGATGTGTTACTTGAGCCATTTGGAAGCCAAAAAAAAGGCAAGACATCATGCACTTTTATTGACGAGTGTCCCTGATGCATCATCCTTTTCACAGATACAATGACAAAAACACCCATTCTAGAATTAGTAACTCTACACCGATTTCCTTGGCATTCTCCACTTAGATTATCTTCTCTCAAGGGTACGCTCGTGACCTTCTTGACTCTAAATTTTACTTCCCCCATATGTTTTAAGAAGGAATATCCTTGGATTACATTTCCAGATTCGCTTCTTTTTAGACCTGGCCTAAGACAATTGGTTAAGTGGGAATAGTTTTGTAACTACAAAGAAATTTTAAATAAACTTGTTAAATAAAAGAGGCATTTGCAGGGAAAGTAATCCATGGGTGAGGCTACACCCACCCAAATTGAAAAGGGAATTAAGAGTGAAAACTGCAAAAATTGAAAATTTTCACATGTCTATATTTGAGGAATACTCCTTAGAAGCATTTTAACAAAGAAAGTTTCTATACTGAAGGGATAAGAGATCCATCATATGGATAGCCAAACCCTGTAGGTAAGTAGGGCGAAATTTCAAAAATTTCTCTCTCTCCCATCTAGGAAATCACATTCCCTGTTTTAGAAAATTGCATTTTCAAGGATCAATCTTGAAACGTAAACCAGACCAGATCTGAAACCAAATGGTAGAAGAGGGATATACCTGATACGGAGAAATAGTAATTCCCAATGAAGGTGTTTACGCCTAAGGAAAATGCCAAAAACTGCTCCCAATGAAGATGACACAGCGTAGGGTGGAGCAGAATCAGCAGGTGGTTCTTCACCAAGAACCGAATTCTTCAGCAAGAATTCGATGGAGGGTGAGTGAGCACGACTTCAGATTAGTTTTTCACCAAAAACCGATATCAAGAACACTTCTTGATCACTCCTATAGGTGGAGAACGAACTGGCAATGGCGGCACCAGGAGGAGAAGGCAAGAGCAGAAAATGGCATCAGTCTTACTGAAGCTGTCTTCTCTCTTCTATCTGTAATTTGAATTGAATGAATTGGGGTTTGCCCTCCTCCTCTATTTATAGCCTTAAAGAGAGGTTCTCCTAATCCCATTAGAAGTTTCTTAATCCAAATCTTTCTTTGGATCTGGATTCTCTTTAAGAGATAAGGATAATCCCTTATCTTATCTGCAAATAAAGATCAACCCTCCTAATCTTATTAAGAGTTTCATAATCCAAATCTTTATTTGGATTTGGACTCTTTGAGTGGATAGGGATAACTCCTTATCCTATCTGCTGACCTAAATCCCAGATCCACCCCTCTTTTAATTTATCAAATTAAACCACTTCGAATTGAGCTTTAGGCCCATTAAGTCTGTGTGCTCACTTAACTTCCAAACTGTTGTCCAGTTGAGTATCCTTGTATGGCGTGGGACCCAAACATTGATTTACACATCAGCCACATGGGTTCAGCCTAGCCTCTGTTACAAGGCCTGGCTGAATTCACTGAAAAAGACAGTGAACACCTAAACCCATCACCATGGGCTCTTAATGGGCCCAACACTTACACTAAGTGGTCCCTAGGCCAAGCCACCTTATAAAAACCCAAGGACTGTGGGCAGATGCAAGATTACCCCATCAGGTATTACCCTCAATGGTCTTAGACTTAATCTCTCAGCCCATAATGATCAAACACTGCCCAACAAGAGAGGACATCTCCCTCG